CTGCAATCGAGCGTGAAACGAAATCATGAATGAAACGTTCCAGTTGAATAAGTCTCAAATATAGGAAAATATCGATATTCGTGTGTGTGCACTTTTTTCTTTATTTTTTTTTCTCTACCTATAAAAAAAAAAAAAAAAAAAAAAGAAAACAAAAAAACAGAAAAAGAAAAATAATCAACTACAAAAATATCTCTTCTTTGAAAAACAACCAAAGTTTTTTTTTTTTCATTTTGATCGATTTCGAATGCTTCGAAAGATAAATACACATTGGTTGTTGAATCCGATATAATAGAATTTTACAGCTCGCTTAACTGCATCGTGGACGTAATCGCACGCGACATACCGTGTAAACGTGGTTAAACTCGAAGGAGTAGAACGCTATTTACTTAAGCGTCCGGCTTATTCCCAAGCTCGTCCCCATTTAAGTCTCAAATATTAGCGGACATATCGCAGACACGAAGTTGGCTAAGGGTTCATCGGATTATAACCGAATTCGTGGTTTAGTCATGCGGTATTTGAAACATTTCTCTCTCTCTCTCTCTTTCTCTCTCTCTCTCTCTCTCTCTGCTTCTAATTAATATATATGGATTTCAATTAATCGAAAAATGTGTAGCGTAGAATAAATCGAGAATAATTTTTAATTTTTATTTCAATAATAACGATATGAGAAAGAAGATAAATTAAAAAGCTTCGAGGTTAATCAATCGTTAATTGAAATGAAAAGATATTTTCTCAAAAGTTTTTATCTATTGAACGTTCTATGTTAAAGAAAGATTTTGACACGTAAAAGAGAACGAAAAATTTTTCCGAAAATACATATCCCGGTGACAGTTTCGATGAATCATTTCATTGTTAACAAAGACGAGAAAGTGGACTACAGCAAGACGAGAATCTTGAGGAAGAGAAGCCCAAGCTATCCGTATGCTTTTCAATACCTTTATGGTATACTTTTTCTTCTCTTTTTTTTGCGTAAAAGAACTTCAGAAAAACGACAACTCTTGGAAGTTAAAAGGCCGTTTGACGGATCCACCTTTTCGACAAATCTTCAATCGAACATTGAAAGTATAGAAATGGAAAAGATAAGGGAACGAGAAAGTTATAAAAGATTCAGTATTGATGCATAAAAAAAGAAAAAGTAAAGGAAAGCCAATGTGTCGCAAAAGTAACTATAGAATTAAGCTCGTTATTTGCCTTTGCGCATGTACTATAAAACTACATTCGATACTCGCGTAAGACCTTGTTTTTTTTTCTTATTACTTCATTATATAATATATCAGCTTCCGTTAGGAGAACAGATTCCTTCAGTTGCAATTTAAAGAGTATAAGAGGACGAACCGAAACTCTTTGCTAAAAGGGATATTAGTGTCGATGCTTTTGTGTATGTAATGAGAGAAGAAGCATCAACGATCCGTCTTGGACGACTTTCGAGCGTCTTTTCCGAGACGAGTGGTGTGCTCTCGTCGAAATGGAAAAGAGAACGAGCACGAGAGGAGTCGTGCGATACGGCATGTCGAACAAATAAGCGCCCTGTGAAACGTCGAGATAATTCGTTGGCGAGTCGCCAATGTCTGAAGGGCGTCGTTCAGCCTGCAGAAAGAGCGAGAGAGAGAGAGAGAGAGAGAGAGAACCTACTCGAAACAGATGAATTTATGTGGACTATGTAAAACGCGTGCTCGCACATTTACTAACTTACGTATACTAGTTAGAACGCAAACGTAGATGTAACCGGCTCACTCAGAAACGACTGCGGCTTATTTGAAACGATGCCAAACTCGTCACCTGCTTCCCGTTGATAGTCAACTCCCTTTCTATTTCCTATTTTGCGTATATGTAATCTATATGTAAATCATATGTGATGGGTAAAGTAAATGCTGAATGAAAGAGGGACCAGAAAGAGAAAGAGAGAAAGAGAGAGAGAGAGAGAACTTTGAATGATGGTGTGCAAATGGGAGATACCATATCGTTGGTACATGAGTAAAGAGGAAAATCGGCCGAGCGTGAACGCTTGGTTCGATGAAACAAAATATTTGATTTATGCTAATATATTTGATTTATGCGAAATTATCGAGATAGAAAAAAGAAGAGATTAGGTCAGTTCGACCGGCGTTTCTCGTTGTTGGCAGAGCTACCATTAATTTCGCCAAATCCAATGGGTATTCGTTAATTAGAGCTCGTTGTGCTATATGTCAGGGGAGTGATGTCAATTTATTCTATTTTTCGTACTTGAAAAATATATACCTATGTATGTATGTATGTATGTATGTATGTATATATGTATGTATGTATGTATGTATGTATATATGTATGTATGTATGTATGTATGTATTTATGTATGTATGTATGTATGTATGTATGTATGTATGTATGTATGTATGTATGTATGTATGTATGTATGTATGTATGTATATATGTATGTATGTATGTATATATGTATGTATGTATGTATGTATGTATGTATGTATGTATGTATGTATGTATGTATGTATGTATGTATGTATGTATGTATGTATGTATGTATGTATGTATGTATGTATGTATGTATGTATGTATGTATGTATGTATGTATGTATGTATGTATGTATGTATGTATGTATGTATGTATGTATGTATGTATGTATGTATGTATGTATGTATGTATGTATGTATGTATGTATGTATGTATGTATGTATGTATGTATGTATGTATGTATGTATGTATGTATGTATGTATGTATGTATGTATGTATGTATGTATGTATGTATGTATGTATGTATGTATGTATGTATGTATGTATGTATGTATGTATGTATGTATGTATGTATGTATGTATGTATGTATGTATGTATGTATGTATGTATGTATGTATGTATGTATGTATGTATGTATGTATGTATGTATGTATGTATGTATGTATGTATGTATGTATGTATGTATGTATGTATGTATGTATGTATGTATGTATGTATGTATGTATGTATGTATGTATGTATGTATGTATGTATATCTGTATGTATGTATGAATAAATGTATATATATATACACAAAAAAAATGGACAATGGACGACGAACAATGATGATTTGACTCGAATTTTTTCAACTAAAAACTGAAAACTAAAAACTAAAGAATATAAATTATATTATTATCGTAATTTCCTTCGGGAAATTTGTTCTTAATGATCATTTTCGAAAGGAGTATAAACAAATAGGACTCTAAATGTCTTATCGAATAAACGCAGAGAATGGTAATGTAACGCAAAAGTTATCGAATAATTTCTTCGATTCAAGCGACATGACTAAAGAGTATGGCCGTAGAAACTTCGTAATAGCGAGACAATCAATGAAGTAATTTGAACGAGAGAAATCGAATGGTTTAAGCGTGAGAACAAATAATGATATATACTTTTCTATTGACAAAGCGAAAGGCAGGGATATTTGTCACCTTTGGATAATAATTTCTAAAGGTATTAGCGAACGTTAGACCGTGACTATATGTTTGTCCGTTTACATGTCGATGAGTACCGGTTCGTGGCTCTCTGTATAAAATAATACTACAAATCCGATGCAAATTATTCTGCGGTGTGTGTCCAATGTAGCGAGCATGCATCCGGAAACGAATTCATTCGATCGAACGTTAGAATAATACTTGTGCGGTTAGTAGTAACTACAAGTAGACCACGAACGAGATCGTTATGATCTTCGATTATAACGCTTTATCTATAGAGATATATATTCTTCAATGAATAATAATTACATTTAGATTTCTGTTGGTACATAGTCGACGAATGATATTAAAAAATTTTGACGTAACATCGTTGTTATGACTATCAACGTTGATTGTAAGATCGAGTTATGGTTGGAAAAAAAAACAAAAACAAAAAAGAAGAAAAAAAAAAGAAAAGAAAAAATAGAAAGTAAAAAAAAAAAGAAAGAGGGAAAAAACGTGAGATAGATAGAGACAGGAAGAGGAAGATGACGTAACGCGACGGAGAGACTCGTTATTCGCGAATACAAAACTCGCTTGATTTATATTATACGACGTAACCGAATTTGTATACACGAATTTCCATAATCCCGTTGGATGGCACATTTCGTAGCTAGGCGCGGCACCGTTGGTAAGGTAACGAGGATAATGAAATTCTCTATGATAAATACAGGAAAAGAAAGAAACACTATAAAATTATTTAGCAAGTATATGTACGTTAAAACACAGCGATCTACTTTAATCGAGTTAATCCTCTTCCTCGTAAGCGAAATCAGCTTTCGAGATATCATCAAGGCAAAGATTCGACGTTGAGGATAGTGTAAAGATCGCAATGATTTATCACCTTTAGAATATGTTCCGACATAAGACGACATCCATCTGAATCTAAAATTTTCAACGGGTGAAAGCCACGAAGGATTTTAAAGGAGCGACGTCCTCATATATATTTCATACATTATGGAACGTGGCTGCGTGTTCGTTGCATGTATGTATGTATGTATGTATGTATGTATGTATGTATGTATGTATGTATGTATGTATGTATGTATGTATGTATGTATGTATATATGTATGTATGTATGTATGTATGTATGTATATATATATGTATGTATGTATGTATGTATGTATGTATGTATGTATGTATGTATGTATGTACATATGTATGTATGTATGTATGTATGTATGTATGTATGTATGTATGTATGTATGTATGTATGTATGTATGTATGTATGTATGTATGTATGTATGTATGTATGTATGTATGTATGTATGTATGAAGAAGCGTACGCAAGAAAACGGGGAGACTCGTACACGTGCGAACAGGCTAGAGATGAGGGCGCTGACGCGAAGGAATTTGAGATGGAAAGATAGTAAAGGAGAGAATGAAAGAGGGAAGGGGGAAGAGAAGGAAAGATAGAATGTGTGTTACGTTTTCGTGTGTTACGTTAGTGTAAGTTGGTATTCCAGAAAGAGAGCAAAACGGAATATAAGGGGAAAGGGAGTGATAGAGGAATAGTAGATGTATCAGCGTTACAGT